AGCCCCCCCCCCCCGCCGATGCGCAGTGTGACCTGCCCGAGTTCTGCAACGGGTCCTCCGCGTCCTGCCCCTCCGACCTGTACGTACAGGACGGGCACGGCTGTGAGCACGGCACCGGCTACTGCTACAGGGGACGCTGCCAGTCTCCGGACCTGCAGTGCCAGCGGCTCTACGGGAGAGGTAGCAGAGGTTGCTCTGGTTGTGCTGGTACTACTGGTACTGCCCAGGTGCAGGAGGTGGCTGCAGTAGTAACGATGCTCAGTGTGTGTCTTTGCTCTCTAATGCATCGATCTCAGGTCGGTCTCATTGTGTCTTTTTAGCCTGGTTTCGGTGGACGGCTCTACGGGAGAGGTAGCAGAGGTTGCTCTGGTTGTGCTGGTACTACTGGTACTGCCCAGGTGCAGGAGGTGGCTGCAGTAGTAACGATGCTCAGTGTGTGTCTTTGCTCTCTAATGCATCGATCTCAGGTCGGTCTCATTGTGTCTTTTTAGCCTGGTTTCGGTGGAAATGAGGGTTTTTGTGTTTGGTTGGTAACTTGTTTCTGATACTTCCCCTGTGAGCCCGAACCCAGTTTCAAGCACCTGTTGAAGCAGGAGGGTTTTTAGGGACTGCACTGGAACGTATCTATTATGAGTGATGAGGCACTGTGCTCCGTGCAAGACTTGTGCCTTGGGTCCTGGCTTCTCCTTGTGCATGCAGTTAGGGGGCAGGAGGGAGAGCGGAGACTGTGGTGCCTGGGAAGGGTGGGGGGCAGTACCCGAAAGGAGGGCAGAGGGGTGGAGTGGGGCACCCGAGGAGGGAAGGGACATAGCTTTAGGAAAGTGTTTCAAGCTCAGTTTTGACTCTGGTTAATATCCACTTCAGCAGCATGTAGTTCTCCCAATTCTTCAGAGATAACAATGAAAACAACAACAAAAAAACCAAGTTATTATCTGTGAGCAAACTTAATCAGAGAGCTAACCTACTGTTTGCTAATCCCATGTTTCTGGAGTTCAGGACTGCTGAGGGTTTGGCAGTTCAGGGACAGGTATTATGTTTTCTCTAATTAGTAAACAGCATCTATGTTCTGCTGTGAACAGGATGAAAAAATAAGAAGTTATTAGATACCATAATATGTCCCTTTGTGTTCCTTTAAATGATAATAAATATTATTGCTAAACTTGTAGGTTCAAAAAATGCTCCTGTGGCTTGTTACGAGGAACTCAATAGTCAGCGGGACAGATTTGGACACTGCGGGTTCCAGCCCAGACAAGGCTATAAGTCCTGTGCTTGGAGGTATGCTCTAGGGAAAGGGCACTTGCTCTGCTAAAAATGCATATTTAATTGGGACTTTACAGACAAGGAAAGTATCAAGACTCCAGCTGATAGTAAGATTTGTGAAGCAATAAATAGACAGTTATGCGTGAGTTCTCCTTGTTAGTAATATGGCATCTCCCCGTATGTCACAGATCGTCTCTTGGACTTCCCAATCCTGCTTTTTTTTTCTTATCATGCAGTGCTCCAGATTTGTATTGCGCTGTTTAATGTTTCTAGTGTTTCATCAGGTAGCGTGTATATGTATATATTTGTGTGTGTGTGTGTGATACACATCCTATGCAAATCAATTTTATAGGAATCTCCGATGTGGAAAGTTAATCTGCACGTATCCATACAGCACTCCATTCGCATCAGACGCTGCCGCTGTTGTTTACGTCCAAGTGCGCGAGCATTTATGTGTATCTTTGGATTATTTGAATGCACCGGCAAGGCTGGATCCTCTTCTGGTTCCGCCAGGTACAAAGTGTGGTTCTGGAAAGGTAAGAAAACATTTTATAATAATCTAAAATGTCAGATATAAATTGTAAATGATAAAAAGCTTTTAGAAATATTTGTTCCTTTGCAGCATAAGTGTACCTGATATTTACAAACGCTGTAAAAACATGTTAACATTGCATTAAAGGTTTGGCATATGTAAGCATTAGACATAACCCAACCCCAAGATAGTAAATGTAGCTTTTTAAAAGCACTGTTGTTTTTTAAGTAGTAGTATATTTTCACTCCCTTTTGAGACATAAGGCTGATGGGCTGAGTGCTGCGAGGTAGAGCAATGCTGAACTGAACTGTTGTGGTTTTTGCTAGGTGTGTATAAACAACACTTGTCACCCACATTCGGTCCTGGGATATGACTGTGACAGCGAAGTGAAGTGCCACGGCCACGGCGTAAGTCACTCCATGCAGCAGGCGTGGTGCTGCGGAGGGCAGGTGGCTTTGTCGTAAAGATTTGCTGTGGCTTGTATGGGAACTGGCTGAAGACCCATTTTAGGCTGATACTCTACAAAATCATGACCTTGTCAGCTAGTACATGGAGTAAAACCATTTAAACTATTGGTCCTAAAACCAGTATAAAAATATCGTGACAGTTTTTATTCACTGAAATGGAGGATTTGATGGTTTGTTTGGTTTATAGAGGGGGGGAAAAGAAAGCAAAATTGAAGGGACATGCAATTGAGGGCAACGGAGCTCGTGTAGATAAAAAAATGTGTGGTTGCAGGGAGCAGGAGAGCTGCTTTGTGATGCATGGAGGGCTGCTGGGCTCTCTGGACCCCTGCCTGGCTCTGGAGTGGGGATAGCCGGGGCAAGCTGCTCCTGTTTTCTGCTTATCAGACAGAAATGCACGCGGGTTTTGCGGGAGGGTGATGTTTTATGCTTGTTCAATGTCTCAAGGCTATTAGAGCCTGCACTTTATGGTGTGCTCCTTGTCTGATACACTTCCTAAATTGCCGGAATGCCAATAAGCGTGCGTAGCTTTGTCCCAACCCAACCGGTGGCAGCGAGACTGATGCCGGTCTGGGCAGGAGAATCCATTGCATGAATTTATTGCCAACTTTTACCATCCACCCCCGGGCTTTTCAGGTGTGCAATAATAAGAGGCATTGCCACTGCCACCCCGGCTGGAAACCCCCCGACTGCCTGCGGAAGGGATCCCGCTTGGGTGGAAGCGTCGACAGCGGCCTCCGGGTGACGGGCGGTGGTTAGTACCCGCAGCGGAGGTGGGGACAGGCGCCGGGCCGGGGTCCCCGGCGCAGGCAGGGAGGGTGGCGGCCCCGGTCCCCCTGCCCGCTGCCAGCTGGGCTGTCTCCTGCCAGGCCTCTCCCTGCAGCGGGCGCTGGAGGACGCGACGCCGGCCTGGCAGGTGCTGGGCTCCTGCCTCCTCCTGCTCGTCCTCGCCGGGGCCATCTGCCTCCTCCTCCTGCGGCAGGCG